CCTTATACTTGGTGATCTGTCGAAATCTAACCAACAACCAATGCCTTATACTTCTCTCTTCGATAGCATTTTATGGCACTCAACTCATAGTCATGTTCCGCACTTTGTTAAGGCACACGGAAGCATACCGGTAGAAAAAATGTGGAAGCATCAGTCGTGCTACCGTGCACACTGCCAGTTTATTTACAAAGATTTTCAGATCAAATAGCCAGAAGTGCTCCTCAGGATCTCTCTAAGTAGAGGACGGGCTCATAATCTCATCACGTGCATTTTTCATTTGTTGATGTTTATGTGCTAACTCCCATGTAAGGCTATCGGTAAGATTGAACATTTGGTGACCAAAATAGTTTAGTTTTATTGCACAAGATTTAATGTCAAAATGAACAGTAATCAAAACAGTACCAACAATGATCTCTTCAAATTAAATTTCAATGAACAAACAACAGTATGGGCTTAAGCATAAAAGAAAGTATAATAAATATTCAAAACTATGAAATCGATTTTTTGCTTGTCACAGGCTGCAGAATAGTTAAAATTTATAGCTCCATGTTAAAAACTACTGATCAATAAACTCTACCTATTTCAGTGATAAAGTCAGCCTTCCCGACAACATGGTCGTTCAGGTTTATGCACATTCTTGTGCTTCAGCATTGACAGGATTTAAAAGATAGTTCGTTTGACAAAATTTCATCGCAATCACTTCTAAATAAGGTCACTCGTTTAAAGCTGCTTTAAAACCTTGCAGGTCAGATGTTTAGTCTATTTGCTTAGGTCAGACCTGCACTTAACGTACATTTGTTTGCTTGTAGAGATAGAGAAACGATGTGAATCAACTTATCTTCAAAGAAATTTGTTCTAACAAATGACGTCAAAAATTCTAGCATTTGTAAATAAATGTGGAACCTATTTTTGCTATCCTTTATTAAGCAGAAAATAATATAAGTTCAAACCGAATATTAAATGGAATTCAGTCAGTAGCCTCCTAGTTTTGGTCAATATAAATGGCGTGGACGATTGCATAAATACTCACAGAAATGTGCACGCAGTTCACACACATGATTTTTTTCACAGAGTGAACTTGAATGGACTGATATTTTCCTAATAATACTTCGGGTAAGTTTTGGCAAATATATGAACGAATATTGCTATGTGTTGAGGGAAGAAGGCCCTTGAAGCGAAGTTATTTATTGGAAAACACCAACTGAATAGTTACAAACTATTGGACAGGGAAGCGAAATTCTCATATGCATCTTGTTTATAGAAAATGATTAACCGTCCTCTTCTCGAACGCGTCTTCCTGGGCACTCCTGGATATGTAATGGCTAGCACACAAATTCAAACGAATGTTACGGAGCAAATTTCACGAATCCCGTAATAAATCTCCCTTTTCAATAGACGTGAAGCGGGTTCACGAGAAAACTACATGCTACTCGCATACTTCATCGCTACGTGGGTATACATAGGTATACAGATAAGCCTATTTTGAGTGTCCGATATCGATCGTAAGTTCCGGACACAAGTGAGCAAGCTGTTTCAACCACACTCCTGTGTTGTGCCGCGCTGCCTTCGAAAACTGAAAGCTAAAAGTTTGGTACTATTTTCAATCCATTGTTGACTAATTCAAAATAAGAAGACTGATGGCGAATAGCCAAACCTGGTCAACAGACAATGGTTTCCGACCAGAAGGTGGGTTAAACTGAATGAATCCTGCCATAACTATGCAGAACACTTTTCTTTATAATGTGCTGAAATGTATTAAATAAAACTGCAGTAAACAAACATAGAATGGAAAGCATAATGGAAAAAAGTTTTCATCGTCCGACAGCATTCATCCTTGAATATACCCTCGTGGCAACGAATCTTACTTCCACCTTGCTTTTATATAAACGCAATTTTGCTTGTCCTTAATTCTTGCTTCAAAAGATGTTTCATATGCGATCGTCGAAAATCCACTTCCAATTTTTAATCACTGCTGACTGTCAGTGATTAGTGATTTTACACATCCCCATGGTAAGGCCGGATATTTACGGTAGCGTACTTGAGATAGGTCTAGTAACAGTAGGTTACCACAAAAATCCTGCTTATATTTTACGATATCTATCCGTTGTGTAACTTATTTATTTAGGTACTGGAATTCATCGATATCATCCTGGTGAAGCTGCTGACTCAATTACTTTTAAACACCACAGTTTTGTCAGCTATTGTCGACATTTGTTTTGCGATGCGTAGGTGGCGGTAATTTTTCGTCCACCAAATAAATACGTATCGTCGTCTGACAAAAACGACGTCAAAAACACATGGGATATTAGCTAACTGGTCAGCAGACGCTAGGTAGTTAAGGAGCATCAAGCTAATTAGCTCGCATACGTATAGTTTTATCAGACGCTCACATCAAATCTACTAACAATGGAACGACAGTACGCGTTTTTGATGCTTTCCATTGATTCCGTCGGCATTTCAAGATATTCTGAGGCAGAAAAAACAAAGTTTGATCGTGAATAGCACGGACAGGGTTCAGTATGCGTTGTCATCGATACTTCGGCGTTTGCGACCTACGTGAGCTCAGCTTAGTTTAATAGTTTCAAAAGCCAGTCATCTAAGTAGTCCGGTGTGCGCCAGCATAATGGAGGATGTGTAGTTGTAAGTACCCAGTAAACTCGGAATGATGCAACGGAAAGCAAGCTAGGAGCAGTAAAATGGAAACCAGTACCAATTAACCAAATGCTGCGTTCTCTTTCTGAATCACTTTTGAAACGCTCATCTACTGAACTATTACGATGAGTACGCTGTGACATACCACTTCTACATAAACCGGCAATCTTACAAGGTGTTTGTACAACGCGCATCAAAAGGACTTTCTACCCCAGATTTCTTTTTGGTGGCCACAGAAAGCACTTAGAACCAGTTTCTCCACGCAGCAAAAGTAGGTTTTCCCTACGGTTTAAACTTGAGTTCCATTAAAGATTCAAAATTAGCTTTTCCAGAAATTTGAGTACGACCAAGCCGAACAAAACAAGACGCGAAGAGCTAAATGCATCTTGTTAAAGTTGGTAATGTGTTGGAATATTGGTAGCTCGGGTGTATTGGTTGGTAAATGATCAGGTGGCTGTTGATCTGTTCGCCGAGCTTGGCAATTAATTGTTAAAGTCTAAAGGAATTTCCAGTTTATTTACTTCGCATCGCATTCAACAGTCTGTGCCTGACGTTTGATAGCAGGTTTCTTGTAATTCATTTCTTCTGTTATATTTGTCAGATTTTTAAATCATGGACCTTTTAACTAACCAGTCGAAAGAAATCCAGAGCACAACGTTGTTTTACCTATCAGGGTAACTTTCTGTCCGGAGCAAATGGTGACAATTCTGTTTCAAAAGTCGGTTATGGACTTTCGCTGTGAAAATCTGTTTTTGCGTCTTGAAGATCGGTGTAACAACTGTCCGTTCGATTTGGGGCGATGAAGTGACATAATAGAAATGATCGAAATAGCGCATGTTCATTGTTCGCTCAAAGTGGCTGACATTTGTACAGCGCATTTGGAAGAACAACGGAAGACAATTCTCTGTTTCCTGCCTACAGCCAACTCAGAACTTTCCTCAGAACTTTCACTATTTTACAATGATTTTACCCAACTTTGCAACCAAACATCACGCTGTCGTTGTCTTTACCTAAGTGGGTGCTTCAAACTCAGATATTTGATTCCGTATTGAATGTGACTTTTTTAATATCATACGAGTTAGTGTAAATAGAATCTGACATTCTGGCACCGAGTTCAATAGCCCTATAAAATGCAACTGACATTGGGCGCAAACATGTCTTCGTCAGTCACTCGATTGGTGATTCACCGTTAAAACATAGTACAGGGACCAAAGGGCAGACAATTGCATGCCAAAGGATGATCATAGCCGTCCGTGGGACGAGCCAGATGGATAGTAGTATATCGAAATAAGATTTACACCTGGAGTTATCGTTTACAGAAACGAGGGGTCTGATTAAGTAGAATACGACCAACATATGTTTACGGAAGGCAAATTATACCTCCCGTATTCGATGGCCCATTACGTGACCAGGTGGCTGATGTCAGCTAGATGAACAGCGACTGTGCTGTTGGTTTGTTTGCCTGACCTTGTTCCAATTCAAGTCCGCTTGTGCCCAATCATCAATGGACAGACTTCGGGTCGACCCACATAATTTGCGTTGTAATCATAAATAAACTAATAAATCAGCCTGGAATGTACATTAACTGCTAGTTTGTTTCCGACCAATCGGTTGTCATAGTGCTGATTAACGAAGTGTGCCGCGTTGATAGCCATTCGTACCATGTGTCAGTCGTCCAGCTATCAACTCCGGGGCTGATTCACTTCCAGAGGGTGGTTATATCTTGTAAACATGCCAAAACGGCTTCAGTTGAACTGTCTTAGATAATTATTTTTAATAAAAACAAGAGATGGAGATTGGATGGAAGCTGAGCACATCTTTCAGGCTCGATACGCCTAGGCTGTAGTCAATTTATGATTTCACTTCATCCCAACAAAACTATGTAGGTTACCATGGTGCCTTAGCCCAGTGGTTTTACAATGAACACGCCGTTTGGTCATTTCATGTTCTCTCCTTGTCAGATTTTGATCTAAAAAATGGGAAACAACCTACCTATTTAGTTTCTCTTAGGAACCTGAACAATTAATGTTCCGAGTTAAAGCGTTACAGATTACACCCAACGTCAGTGTCTGAATTAAATATAACATGACGCCATCGGTAGATAGATAATGGGTCTGACATCTGTCATTCAATGAGTTTATGGCATGTGGTTCAAGCCTTCTCATGAAAAGGTCAACAAATATTACAGTGATCCCATTGCTGAACTGTCTCTCTAGCCACAGACAGTGTTGTCGAAAAGTAAATTGGCGTTTAAAGCACAGCTTTCAACAACTTCCCTGGTCGAATATGCAAATAAAGGTTAGGTTGTCGCACTTAGGCACAACTGCGATCTGCTCTCACGAACAGTGATGCTTTCAAGGAGAGCAAACAAACACCAGGGAATTATCACTCTTGATACAGCTAATAAATTCGAACGTGTCACACAACCAGGTTGCCTAAAAATGTTTTATAATCGACGGAATCAGGGTGACAGAGATAATTACTCGTGGAAAGTACGGGTAGGGGAGAACATTTCAGTCCCCTACTTATGAGTGTCGTACAAGCCAGTGAGTTTTGTGTTTATGCTCTATCCCTCTTCTGTGATGTCGGTTGGCAGACCGTTTCGGGTGGGCTGTAATTCCTAGTTATTCTACCATGCCACATCCCAGTTTTAGTTGCTGAATTCAGTTCTATTAGAGGGAATACCGCACGCGTTTAATTAGTCCGATCCTTTCATATGTGCAATACCGTTTAGTTCTCCGAAAGTGACAGTATTAGATCATCCTTACTGTGCAAGTTCTTGGGCTGTTGTACGAGTTGAGACGTGACTGGACTTTCGTATAAACAGGACTGTGCATTTATTGGCAGCAACCGCTCACCAGATGCTGTCGTCGGAGTGTGGTAACAGTTGGTCTATTTTATCATACAAGGTTTAAGAATGAATCCTAATCAACAGCTAACCGACTTTGCACGAAGGCTTACAGAATTCATGTCATAAAGGCAACATCCCGAGGTTCTTTGTATCAGGAAAGTTTGAAGATCTGTGAAAGTACGTCCGAGTCCGAGTGGGATTCTAATAATAAATCAATCTTTTTGACCTCGTGGAACAGCGAGGCCAGCGGTAACTTACTAACGAAATACGCTCAGTTTGGTTTGGCAACATGGTGTGCATACCACCAGCTAGATCCGCAAAGAAGAAATCTGACCAAGGTTATCTGGCTTGAATCAAAATTTGTTTGAAATCTAGGGTGCTGTTTTGGTTGATGGAAGAGCTTCGTTGTTGATTCTGACTTGGAAACAGACTGCTGATTCTAAAATTCTAAGATCAATTGACTTACTATTCGATTCGATATTAGAAGGCCGGCTATGTTCCTTCCAGAAATGCGCAAGTCCTGCCTCGGCAAAATGTGATCATTGCAATTTGACAAAACTACCATTACGTACAGAATGTCTGGGGTCTCACTGCGAGGTCGATTTGCGCCGACATTTGCGCTTATGAGGGATCACATGAAATCCTACGTACCATCTTTTGGAACCGGATCGAATTAAAATGGACGTTACGTAGATCCTGAAGGATATTCCTCACTCTCAACCAATAATATTCGATAAAATTATGACCGCAAATTTTTGTAATCTACCTAAGGTGTTTTGTGTATTATTATCCAACGCAGTTGGCAATAGGCCATAATCGAACAAGTTTCATTATGAAAATGAGTTAAGTAAATCCAATGGCGTGGGAAAGAATTTCAGAAAGATATATGCGAGGGCAGTGTTCATATAAAACTGTCAAGAGTCACTCTGTCAACACCACCGTAACTTACCAGAAGAAAGTGTTCATTCAGCATATGGTCCCCGGGGAAAGGAGCTCCGCCTGGTAAAATGTTAAGTACGCAAGCTAATGGTTAGACCTTCAGAAAGGCGTTTTACTGTTAAGTAACAAACGTCCCTCATGCAACTCAGTTCAGCATTGCTGGTCAAACCTGGGTAATTCTTTGAGTGCAGCAATGCGCAAACTGTGGAACCTTCCATTTTATTACGTTGACATTTACAGCCCTCTATATCAGTATTGCAGCATCAAGCACATTGCAGCTTCATAAGATTTGTGCTTCGAAAGAACGCTCCTGCTCATGTCATAGATGTTAAGACGGCTAAGTAATCCAGAACAATGCAGCTAGCCAAACTGACGAGCTGTTCGCTTACAGCTGTTGAGCCGGGGACCAAGTTATATCTGTTGTTGCAGCAACGCAAATTCTGCATCCTGAGTTGGCGTCAAATTTTGTGTTGTGGCTGTCTGTACTATTCAAAATAACTTCCCTTCTCAGAGGATTGTGCCAGTAATGAGTTCCGACGTAATCGCGATTCTATGACACCTTTCTGCTAGCGGAAAATGAAAACGTGATTCGTTGCGCAACCAATCGAGAAACTATCCTTAGAGCACTTTTTCGTCTACCCAGTCTTTTGTTTCCCACCCATCGCTTTACAGATAGGAAGAATTTCTTCTATCTTGTCAACTACCCGAATGTAACGTTATACACTAGCTTCACTCATATGTTTGTACAGGAGATTTAAGGTCGCTGATTGGTGGTGGTTCGATAGCATTTTTGCACGAGAACGAATATCGGTTGCTGTGCCTTCCGATCAACGTTATTAGTTACTTTTCGCTCTTTCGCGTGGTCCCCTTTATACGCACCACCGTATTTTGCCGATAACATCCATTCACTTGTTGGAAGTAAACAATCCATCCCACTGTACCGAGTTATTCCGCTTCGCCCGTCACGCGCAGTGGCAATCAGACGGACACGATGACGGCTAATGAGAGTTCTCACGAGGTTCGCAAATTTCACCTGAGGGTTATTAATCCAGGTAATTCTGACTAAAGTGAGTTTGAGCCTTGGATTATAAGGAAGTTGGAGCTATCAAAAAGTCAGCACCAGTTCAACCCTACTGAAAACTTAACCGATTTTAATAATATTCAAAGGAAGAAACCTGAGGTCGACGCCCCGCATTTTGGCCAAAAATTTGGGAGGTTGTTTGGATATTAGAAGAATGTTCTTCCTGCACGCAACACTATTGAGATAAGGCAAAGGGCTTATTTATTGGCAGATTTCGGGTGATGCGAGGATCAGGTGTGTTTAAACAAATCTGGCACCGTAGCCTGGTGACAGAAGACATTGTGAATTTAACTGATTTTTATTCCCCTATGCTTTTTACCAAGTGTCGTGTCGAAAAGCTTTGTAGACCTCTGGTCCTCGACTACTCACCTAATTTTAACTTCGACCATATGGAACATTCTAACATTCTAACATTCTCTGTAGAGAAATTTCGTTTTTATTAAAAGAGCTAGTGAACTGGGGACGATAGACATACTAAGTAACAGTCACGTCTCGCTAGACGGGAACGGAGATCACAGTACTCCTTATCAATTGCATCCATTTAGGTCTGCTGTCACCTCACTTTATTGCGCAGGAGTGTACGTACTTATATCTTGCAATTTTATCGTGACGGATAACGTTTTTGCTGCTTCGAGGTGGTTTGTTCCTTTAAAATGAACCTCCCTCATGCCTGAACTTCATCTCTTCGAAATTCAGAAATATAAGATCTATCACAATGAAATATCACACAACATGTAATGTGCCACCAAAAGTCAGTCGTTGAATCGCAGTGCGTGAAATAATTAAAGGGACATCTGATTATGTCGACAAACATAATGGTGGACCAATTTCCTAAAAAAACGCCTATTTAGGCCATTTGCATTCTTTAAAATGCACTTTAATGCACTGATAAAAAACATCTTTCTTCAAGTACACTGGAGTATGACGCAACTCGGCTGATCCACTTGATGGGAGTTTATGGACATTTTCGATCTATCTAATTAGGTCGATACCTGGCTAATTTAACCCACCTCAATGAAATTCGTTACCTTTCACTTTGCCTGACAGAGAGAAGCCAAGGCCAGACCCACGCTCTGCAACTCTTTTTCTCGCCAGTCTCATTAGTCAAGAGAAAAGACTCAGTTGCTTTTCCCATAACTGTCACTATCATTTCGCAGTGCTACTGCTTATTTTACCGACCGCGCGGTCTGCCTAATTTGCAATTCTGTACGACCACTCTCCGACGTATTTGCTTTCTTTCCAACATGGTCGGTGGGTTCAGAAGAAATATTCTTTGGCATACTTTAAAGCAAATTTTGGTCGCAAACTGACATCCATCACAATAGGCATGCTGAGCACACCGTCCCATAAAGAAAATGACCAAGCTTATTCTAAAAATTTGTTCCATTTGGCGGGAATCCCAAGTTCCAGACCGTAGAATTGCATTCATGAGTATGTTCTTTTCTGGTCTAAAAACCACCAGGGCGTCAGCAGAGTCACGACTCTATAAAACTGTTAATGTTGTTCTGGTTGTCTAAACTTCACGGCTAATTGGCACTTCTATCTTGTATGTTTGCCGGTTTGTTTTTGATACCACAATTTACTTGTTGAATTTCCTATTCCTTCATGTGTAAAACTTGATTTACCTTCAACCAGTATATGGGTTAATCGAATCCGACTAGTTTTTTTTCTTTTTGTAGGAAAGATTGTGACTTTCTTATTACATGTCCAGTGAGCATTTGACTATTCGGGTTCTTAGACGAAACACCATTCTAGCGAAATACGCTCATTTGCAAACAAATTTGATTTTGCGACAGAATCATCTGGAACCCATTTTAATCTCTTCTTTGTGATGTTTTCATTCTGTTCACGTAGAATTAACAATAGACCGTTGACACTTGGACACACTGCGATTTGATGGAAGGGTATAATCTCTTACGGTGAATATGTGATGCGAATGAGCCATAAAGCCTCAGAATGTATTTCAGAAATGGAGTCCATATGGGTACCGAAAATAGCATAATATAAATCTCAGTTATTTAGTGATTCCGGCCATTTTTGGGACGCGTTATTAGGGGAAAGCGGTTTAGAGGGATATTGTTTTACAAATATTACTCTAATGTTATTTCGGTAATACACTTAGAGGGTCATGCCTTCACGTAATGTGGTGGTTCCAAGATGTGTGGTGCTGATGAAAGCTCCAGATAGAAACATCTCAAGTAAGAGAGTATTCTTCGTTTATCCGACCCGTATAATGTTTGGGAATCTGCCCCAACAATGCTATTTTTCCATTTGTCCACGGATCACTTGTATTTCTTCACAGGCTCTTGTCATGGAGAATGTTTCTGCGCCAAACGATAATGTTCTACTTGTTCGACTTCTATTAGTAGAACCCTATACGAGTAAATGGACGAGATGTGAAAATAACCAGTGACTTTCTGCATGCTTGCAATGCATTAGTCCTGCGGTTTTAAAGTTGCATATATTTTAGGTGCGAGACATTCATACGTGGGTAAATACAAGAAATAACGATTTTTCTGTCGTAATACTTATTAACCTAACCCTCCCTGAGCTAGAGGCCATAGCAGAATAACCAATCAGAATGCACCGAATGCAAAAACTCCAAAGGATAGTTTAAAACTGTGGGCAACCGTACTGCATGTAAAGTCTCCGTTTCAAGAACATTCTGATGGCCTCTGGTTAGGTGATTGAAACTAACGTTGGGAAAGACTGAAATGCAACCGACATATGGACTTGTATTATAAATCCATTAGGGCACTTACGTCTGGCAGATCTCCCTAGCTAGCAATTACACCAAGATTGTAATTTGAGCCCGATGTCCGTTGTGACGCCAGGTTATGTACAGGCAAGTGGTTTGTGTATTTTCACCTCGCCATCGGATTTAATCAATGGAAGTTTAAACGCGGTAATGTGCTGGTGATAGCCTAATCGGATCGAGAATCCTATCCACCTACCGTTACGCGTTAATGCGTGCCCAGGATCAGACATCGTTTGGAAGACCTCCAGTGGATCCGAAGGTGGAAAAAGTAACAAAGCTGCCCCGTGATACCGACTGAATTTCAGCTCCTTTGGAATCCTACGTAGCCATGCCCTATTTTCCTTTACCAGATAAGGTCGGCGCAAGTTCGGAGCTTGCATCCAGACAATATATCTCCATTTACTCTGGTAGGTGAGAACCAGTGTTAAACTGATTTATTTGCTGTGTACGTCCCCAGTAGACGTTCTTACGTGCGAAGCAATGGCCTGGTTGTTTTGGTAGGCCGTTGGCTGACTACGTAAAATTGTGTGGTAGATAGTACGTTTTGTTTTCGTTTTGCATGTCATTGGTTTCGTGGTGTACGTGATCAGTCTAACTGTGCAAAGCGAACGAAGTCACAACTGAAAAATATTGAGGTTCTTGTGTTGACTGTTTATTCGCTTGCATCTAGTGCGGCACTTGCAACAATGGTATCCACAAGATTCTAGGCCGAATAATTGCACACAACGCTGATTTGGCTACAGACCATGATTAGGCGTAAGGTGATAAATTGTATGTTCGTCTGAGATATCCTTTAGTTGACAATATATTTGGACATAATGAAGATGCAACTCACTTGTTGTATTAAGCTCCTATTCCAGTGCCACCTAGAAACTGCCTACTTCAGGTTAGCTGTGTCCTAACGTGAAGCTTACAGAGCCGAGGCAGACTGAGATATATTCGTGGATGTTACCCCTGGTGCAATCAAGTATTCCGTCATTTTCACCTCGCAGAATTTACTCAGGATAATATCCACCTAACACCCCAAAGATATTATATAAGACTGATTGTGATATGCGATAAAGCGAAAAATACATGGTTGTTTATTCTGTTTTCTAAAAGCATAGCAAATTTATCACATTAAGCAAAAACTGTGGCCTAATGTTGGACAGGTTTTGTGCAGATACAAAGGACAATAATGAATCTTATTTTGATCTGTCATAAGCTGAACTGCTCATCGTTGCAAGGCTTGTTTCTTTCGAGTGATATTCATGCAACTGATAGTGGTGTGCTTCTATTTTGAGTCGATTAATGCCAAAACACTATTCGGTTAGGAGAGTGACAGACCTTGGTTCTACGTTCATGAATCCCCTCTCCCTAAGAGTCCACCACAAAGAAGCAACCACGAAGGGGAAATACACTCATTTGTTAACGTTAGAGCATAATCCACTTTTGATTTTTTTAAGCAGCAGATGAACTCTGATGAGCTTGAAACCAGAAATTTAAGGGTGGATGTGGATCACACCTTGGAGTTCCGCCATATTGATCTGATGGCTTCATCCGATTGAATAAGGTACAATAAAGTCTCTTGCATCGGATTTACGCCAAGTGCCTGAGAGCTGTTTCCTTTCCAGTTTTTGTACGAACTCCATCCCATCACTCAGCTCTGCCAACAGGAAAATATGCTGTTATCGTTAATTACTTTCCTTAACGGAATTAATCCGAAGTCAGTGGCAAATACGATGACATACATATTGATATGTAAGGAAATAGATTGACATATTTTACCCATTTACGCGAGGTACCTGAAATTCTGTTTAGTCGATGAATACACATTTGGTTGTGAATCTTAATATACTGTTACCGCTATGAATGAATAATGCTAAATGAACTAGAGGACTATCTTCGCATTTCTTGTTTTTGAGGCTAATTCTGCACAACTTCTCATGAATAAAACGCAAAACCATTTGTGTTCAGCTAAAAAGAGAATGAAAATAAATTCTACACCTTAATTCACTACCGAATGACCACAATTAACTGATGACAGCTTGATGTATCGCAAACTTGGGTGCATTTGTTCACTGAACCATTGTTAATTATTCAATCTTTTGAGGAAGAGCAAAATATTTGATTTAGCCTATTACGAACGGCTTTTAAGCCACTTTGAAGAGAATAACGATGGTTTTGAAGTGTTTTGATTGGCATCCGTTTTCAGGTTGACCTGTCGAATCATACGAAGCCAGTGGATCCTCGCGCACAGTGAGTGACGTCACAGTAACGGTTAGCCGAATGTGTACCGGTGTGAATTTGAAGGCATATGACTTGGTAGTGAACAGGAGGACAGGTTCCAAAGCCATCAGCATGTCCAGCTGGTGGCCTGCAACTTTCAACTGAAGGGAGTACGACTGAATCTTTGAGCCACATAGTGCATGCAAAGGGTCATCTCATGACCCGCACTACTCATCTCGTACACAACTTAGACACGCACGAGCAGCTAGCTGGTGTTAGATATTGCCCAGCCTGGCCTGTATAAAGATGGTCAAAGGCAGTTACCCTATCCTGATTGTAGACTTGACACCCCAAAATGTCTATTTTGTTATCGCGGAGACTTTCAGACGGATCCATGAAATGCATAAATAGAATTAAACAGAAAACTTCAACTCACTGTTTAGAGAAATACTTTACCATACATTGCGAAGTATACAGCACAGATCTGAGATAGTGATGAGAAAAAGAGATAACATGCCAACCCTCTTCGTAGTGAACTGCCTACGTTCTCTTCGGTAAGATTGGCGTAACTAGGTGGTTCTCGCAACATATGGAACGCCATTCACGAGATATTCTGTTGACACATATGGATAGCTACGTCTAGGTATTATTCAACTCAGTCTAAACAACCTATGAAATATAAGACCGATCTGGCAAACTTAATTGGTCTGCCTATGCTTCGCCAACACATTACTGTATCCACTGGTAGCGGACTGGTTCAGTGCTCCCAGCCCCAGAACAACCGCTGTCGGTGCGTATCCAGGTTATTCGGTCTGCAGGTCCAACGGCTTTGCGTTCTCCTAGCATCTCGCAAGCTTCGGTTCGCTTGCTCGAAATTAACTAAACAAGTGCCGGTTGCCATCGTTTCCGTCCATGCCAACCTGTTTTGTACTTTGGCGTTCCACTTCAAAAATCCACATTGCCACCTGTCTGACTTTAGACAAAAATATACACATATAGAGGGTTTTGTCCACCAAACATTCGTTTGTCCGTATTCAGTTGGTTATACACACGTCGCTTTGGAATTCTGCCTCCATCAATCCTATAAGTGATTCCCAATCATCACTGATGGGTGAATGTGATCATTGTTTCTGTTTAATCACAAAGTGCCTGTTGGTGAACCTCGGTACCCGGCATTCGATTATTTCAGTAAACTCTAAATATCTGAATGAAACAGTGCATGTAAAGCTGCCGTGGTATGGGATCTTTCGCCTGTACGTGATCGGTGTACAGGCCCAGCTATGTTTCCAGTCGCAGGCTGGGGTTACTCCACTCTCATACGTCAAATTTGCTAAAGACCACTATAGTCCTGATAACACTGAATCTCACCTCATGACCGACGCCTACCAATCAGTTCATCCAAGCTTTATGCGTGCACAGCCTCACCATGCTGCAAATTATCAAGTGTATCTAGGGTATTCCCACTTTGTTCCCTGTACATTTTGGAAGACAGAAGTCGCAGATAAATATATCAACACCATTGATTCATTACTCTTCAACTTTTCGGCCTTCAGTACAACAATGATTTTGCGGTCTGTTCATCCAACCCTCACCAGCTGAACTGGAGACGTTCACATCAGATACATTGTTCCTCTGACTCAATGAAACTGAGTTCGAACCCTGTGAAATTTCTAACCGTAGTGTAGTCATCTAGTCAATGATACCCTACCAGTGTTGTGACTGGTTGGCTAGTAGAATCATTTAATGGTGTGCAACTGCCTTGTATTGATATCTAAAACTGAACAATAATTCTCCATGCGTTTCAAACAAGAGGTTTGTTACTATGTTGTTCTTGTGACGTAAGTTGAAGGAATATGGAGGTGCAGCACAAACAGTACTGAACACGATACGTGTGAGAAGTCCTTAGGTCTGCGTCTGTGTCATCCATACTACTTTGAAGATCAGAAACGTAACACTTACATGCAGAAGACATGAGAAAAATGTTGACATTTGACCGTGCGTGTCATCGACGTATTATCCTGATCTGGTAGGGACATCGGATCAGCAGTACTGAGATATCCAGATAGTTTTTGGAGGAAGAAACTCTCCCACGATAGAGCCGTTACTCATGATTCATAAGTTACGCTGATTAGGATGTGTACTCTGCATTCCACAGGTCCATCTGTCCCTGTACTGAATGGAAGCGATCGAGAGGTTGGCATTCTAGGATCGGGCAATGAAGTATGAAAACAACAGTCCGTAAGCTACTTCGTGCCAATAACTGCGGCCTTGGTCAATGGGGACCGCCGGGACTCAAACCCTTAGTTGTTAATGAGAGTGACGGACACGGCTCAGTCCCGTTGAATTGAAATGCTGAATTCCTCTCCGTTGCCTTTTCAAGGTTCTGTATCTCTAGGAAATCTTCTTCAAGCTCCTGTTCACTGAAAACTCTGTGGCTACATGACAACATCTCTAATGGATCTATGGCTCCTAGTTTCATTGATCGACTAATTCCAATAGTTGAAAATTACATAGTGATGCATGTACTGACGCTTTTACGCTTCGCAACGAAGATAGCTACGTCTCGCTTTTATCCCTTCTGGTCTGGTTCATGTCAGTCAAGCAATTAAAAGAGAAGGAGCGTAGTAACCTGGGTTAAATCAGCAACTGAAGCATATGATGGCCGTGCTTCGTAAGGCTTCAGAACCCGTGATTTAAATGCGCAAATTATTCGTTCTGTCAAGTTCGCAAAAACCCTTCATTGAAGCAGTTAGGCGACGCAGAAAATATTCATATTGTTGCAGCACCATGTTACCCATTGTCAAGGTCATCCCTTTGTTCACCTAACATTTCCGAAAAAGATAACCTCTCAATCGATTGCAAGCACTTTCCAACTGAGTGAGCAGATCTGTAAGCATCTTTTGCTGAGTAGTATGGTTGAGACAGATCAGCTGACAACTCAAAATTGACGGTAATGTGACGGTATTTGCAAATTTCCAATAGAGGTCTTATCCAGTCAGTGAAGCCAATCTATGATGAAAAGCTGAGAAGCACTGCACAGCACAGATTGGCTTCACTGACAAAATAAGATCTCTGTTGAAAATCCAGCATAATTGTAATTCTTTTGACTGATGTGACAGCTGAATCAAGCAAAGGCCCATGGAAACAGAACAAGCGGAAACCGGCTCACTTTTGTCTTACCAAAATTATCCTTTTAGTGGTGTAATTCTTGTTTTTGTCAGTTGCACTACTGTACGGGCGAAGTTAATGTTGAAGTTTCAGGCCCGCTGTAAGAGTCGGTTTTTTTAGTTGATCAGAATTCTCCATGAGTTAATTGTCTACTGAATACAAAACTAGACCGGTCAGATAGCAACAAAACTTAAGAGCCCAGCGAAGCATTACAGCTCAGGAGTAATATAACCAATAAATATGTTACGTCCTGGTGATTGTGGTTTGACTCCGGACACGGTCGCTATCTGCATCAGCTGCACGACAATGTCAGGTGGATGACACTCTGTGAGAAGTGCGAAAGAATGCATTCTAACTATGAAGCCGTATCAAGGCAATGTTTGGAAAATTTATGACAACCGCAGCTTCTTTCATGAAATGTCCACATCATTCTCATCTCGAAAAGCTTTACAGGAGCAACAAACTGACGGGTTTCCCCTTTATGAACTGTTTGTTGTGAGTATCCCCTGCGTCGGTGGTAGTGGTTGTGCTGCCTCAAAATTGTGGCACTCGAGCGTAAGAAAAGAAACCGTACGCGTGTTTGTCAGTAAGTTCGACCGCTTCGACCTTAAACAGCTTGTTAGATAAATCTCAATGGATTGTGTTTTACTCGTCCATGATGGTTCAATAGACAAATGATGGATTGCTGTTGAATGCAACCAACATCTGCTCATCCTGAGGACTGATACTGGATTGTGTTAAACGAGCAATGCCCCACAGAAATGTTTGTCACTCGCCAAAAATAATGTCATGTATCTAAGCAAAACAGAAGACAAGAAACTAAAGGTTGAAAAATTCGTCTTTAGACGTTGTCGCCTATGAATCACAGGTCAAATCAAAAAAGCTTATGACAGGGAACACCCTTTACTGTAACCGCGGGAGCAAATCAGACGACAAGGAAAAACCAAAGCAACCTTGCACAACTGCACTATAAAAGACCTATTCAATTATTGGCCCAGTGTGTTGTGAACATTTACATTAGGCACACTGTAAATAGATAACCTACCCAAGTTAGATTCTAAGGTAGTTTTGGGCCTCTAAGGTGGAATCGATTTCGGTGCTTATGAATCGCGCTTCTTATGAAAAGGATCACTGTACTTTGTTACCTTACAGACTGCCAGATAGCCAAACTAGTTCTGATGTCCCTGGCCGCTCTAGTCACATGGTTCCGTTTGACGGACTTCACATGGTCAAACTTTACACACAGCACAGTCGAATGAGATTGAGTGTAGTTTTTCTAAATTCGTCTGTCAGTGCTGTATAAGTCGCACACTAAATGACTGAAAATAAATGTAAATCAACCAAGGTTGTTCAGGCTGACTGAAGTCAGTGAGCGAATTGGAGAAGCACACTATGATCTTGTTCTACGGTTTGTTCGGTCACCTGCCCTCACAAATAGGCTGACAGATGAGGTTACAGGTTATGTAAGAATGGACTAGTCGAATGAAGCTAGCAATCCAGTTGCTGTTGTGAAGGACTAGCGTGTCTAAATTCAGTGCAGTTCTGTCGAAACGTGAGCCTCAAATTGAAGCTATGCAGCACTCCCAACATTGAATACCGAGTAAAGGGATAATTGCCAGTAGTCACAAGATTTCAGTATTTCAATGGAAATTTCATGGTACAGGTAATGTTAGCCTATGCTGAAAGGTAGGGCGCATTGAACGGCTGATCCATCCTGGTTGAGTGTCATCAACAGTGCACATCCTACGATTCCTCACAGTGATTTGAACGACTGACCTCTCACTTAGCAGTTGAAATATGTACGGTTCGGTCACCACTGGATGAGGAGCAGTGCAATTAGCTTGCACTCAAACTGGGTAGAACGCCACCATCCCTACACACAAAGTTCACTGACATGATCCGATCTCGATCTACTCTTCCAGTGAGAACTTTCCGAACGAAAGATCAAGAGAATGAACAGGTTGTATGAATAGGTTTTACTCCAAGGTTACGGTAAAACTTACAAAAAGGTCAAAAGTATCAGTTTTGATGAAAAGTCCTGTTAATTAAAATATGTGAACAACCTAGAGAAGAATCGGCTCTCTGTTGAAACTTGTGTGAAGGTCAACAAAACAAAAGTAACAAGGTAACAAATTACCGCATATAGTTTGTGCCCTCCGCGGAAAGAGCAGAAACACACCAAACAAACGTTACAAGATATAGTTGCAATTTTTAAGGAGACTACATGTGTCTGAATGGCTCAGTGATCCAAACTCTAGGAATCACTGGCCAAATTCTCCTGCCAAAAAAGGCAAGTAACTAAACTTTAGGGCTTCATCAAAGACCCGGAACAATCAATATTTGGCGGCTTGCATATATCTGTGACTCAGGAGTCGTCATTTCGCCAGTGTATATTCCGACCTATTTAACTTAGGCCACCACACGCTTATGCGTGTGAAAAGACCATTAATCGTCCGCCCAGGTCTGTTTAGGCCACCATCAGCCCATAAATGGTTCGTGCCTAACATCAGCCAGCGGTGAAGCGACAAGACTGTTTTGAACAATGTGACATTTTTGTTGGCTGAATATTATGCAATATACTTTAGTCAAGAAACAGTAATCACAACTTGATCTTCGGATCTCATTCGGATTCTGTAGATATCAGTCATTTTCCTTAACAAATAGTCCTTCATAGCATATAGATTCGTAGATTTCGCTCCCTCTTTAGCTATCCAACCAGCTTTGAATTTTTAATCGTTCTATGCAAAGTCAAACGTGTTCCACTACTCAACGGCAGGTGTACGTCATACAGAATGCCGAACGCTAGTTAGTTGACCTCGCTGAGCTACCGTTGCCCTTATAAATCAGGTGCTTTTTGAGAACACCGTGTAGGTCACGGTAGTGCACGCCGCAAGTGCGAGTTTCACTATTCTTATCCTGACTGACACACAATTGGTAGCATCAGGCGAACCATTTGGAAACAACGTCAGCAAAGCAAAAAATACTACCTGACGGCAGCCGTTTTATTCCCAAAGCAAAACCGTGGTTCGGTTGCTCAGCATCGATAAGCATATGAGCTTGATGAGCTCGCAATCAATCTGTTACGCTTAGATCCATAGCACTAGCGAAGTTCAAGCCTTCAAAAGTAAGAGAAAGTATAGAAAGCCGATTACTAAACAGCAGCGTTCGATGGAGGCCTCACTTTTGGATCGGAAAAATTCATCGTCAGAGTGGTGACGTCATCCTTGTATCAGCCTGTTCAACATGATTTCGTGTACAACGTGCAAATAAGCGTTATAACGCTAGGATGTTCGACAGAATTGTGCAAAATGCAATGTCCTAAAAGAATTTTTGGACAATATTCTGACAGCTCATACAGGCTGACTTAGAATACGTGCTTTCAGGAAGGAAATCGCCAAAACCCGTTTTGCCTTTTGCCGCTCGGGTAGGCAGCAGAACTCAGATTACTTCAAACACACCTATGGGATGGCCACTTTTGGATCCAAATTTTAAAGTTCTTAGATTGGCATTGGAGCGGAAGTCCAAAGGAGCGAGAATGTTCTGCGAGAAAGGAGAGCAGACAGCAGTCTTCTTTGGTAACTAGGACCTACTAGATAATAGAATGGGACAAAAGCTTCCGGTATTTTTCGTTTACTGTACGTCAAGTATCATTAGTTCTACTCAGTGAAACAGGTGACGCAGCAGACGCCAATCTAAACCCTAGTGACAGTTTGTAAATGGCTTCCCAAGAAATTATTCCATATTCATCCCATATGCCCATACAAGACATATGTAGATCTCACTTCTCAGACTCATATTGACACAGAGTACCTCTAGTAGCAGCGCAGCTTCGCAATGTCTGCGGGGGCGCCATATGTCTTGTCATCAGTTAACATTAGATTTGAGATTTCCTGAATCGCTTTGCCATCCAGCCGAGTAGACAGAACTCCAAGACACTGGTAGATAGCGAGAATTCGTTCTACTCTTTATACATTTAGAAATCCCGTTCTGTACATTGGCAGCTTGGCGTTGGTAGTTGGTTTGAGGGCTAATTGTTTACTGGCTCAGTATAACATAGTGTGTCAGTTACTACTACTGTTGCTCAAACTCCCCCTATTAAGTGGGAGGAAAGGAGGTAACAGAGTTTAAAATGCTTTATTTCGTGAAGAGTTTATGCATTCTTCCTCGAGGACAATCTTTTCTACAAGGCTTGGTTGTCCGGAACGTAATAATGCTGAATAAATGAGGCCGACTTATCTGTTAGGCATCAATAAACTGACAGGATTGACCTCAAATCATCGAAATGAGTGCAGTGTCCGAGACCAGCCTCCTAGAGGACTGTATTTTCAGCACGTGCTGTCCAGCATGCATTATACGCCTGACCGCAAACAAAGGCTGACAAATCATCTCACAGAACGAAATTCGCATTCCATTTGTATTAAGATGTTGGAATGCGACGGAATCCATCAGAAGAATCACGTCATTTTGAAACCGACTGTTCGTCACGTCTTACCAGGAAGTTCAGTTTCACGAATAAAGAATACTGGTTACCTAACATTGGCGGTTAACATATCTTCGCTGTTCATGAATGGAAGTGAAAAGCAGGCGAAGTGAATCACTAATTAAAAAGCTCATTGCCAACAGAAAAGCCATGTCGGTTTTCGAGATTCTCGAATGTTATCGTGCGGCACACCTCACGAATGAATCATATTCTCAAAATTTATCCTTTGTCAAATGAATTACCGGTGGTCTATATAACATATCATATCCACGGGATGTCCCAGAGGCGCACCGTTCTCCATGGTTCACCCCCTTCTCGAAGTCAGATGACCTATAGTGACGAAATATATGTAAATTCTCACTGATAGGGCGCTTTCCTCTCTGGAGATCAAACGACCAAACAAATGAAATTAGTTTTCAGTTTACTGACTGGATATTTTTGAAAAGAAACAGCAGACGCAGAACGATAACCTCCTCATAGCGCGCCTAAATTTATTTTGTGAAATAAATAACTTTCCTACGTTTACAAATTGGAAACCCCAGTCCGGCAGTATACCTGGAATAAGATTCGAAGACATTTCAACGTCTTATTGAATAACAATCGAGTGAGTGTAAAACAGTTCATCGTTGATAATTTAAACGGTCCGGCACTCAATGATGGGATATGAGCAATTTTCTAAGCAGCGAAAGTGGAGTATGAATATGACCAGAGCATCTAGACTTTCAGGTATGACCGATCATCTGCCATTCTTATTTTGAAATCTTGTAAAACTCGAATTTACCCAAGATTGTCATTTTCTATGTACTGCTGTTATCCGACTATCTTTATGAACAGAAGTGGTGAACTATTATATTCTGGGACAAACCTACATGCTTTTTTCGTGGTATCTCCATCACTGGCTAATTAAGGAGTGCCAGTTTGGCCAACAGATGATAAAAATCGTCAGAAGGTTTGGTGAAGCTTTCTCAGACGCTGACTCCCCAATCGAATAAGATGACTATTCGTCGCAGAAAACGACTTAGACAAAGGGATATGTGTCAAGCAAGCGCGGTAAAAATCAACGGCTATCTCTGGTTTTCCTCTTGTAATCGAAGGTCAACTGGTGTCCGTTGCATCCATAAAGTGCTCCGATATTCTTTGAAGATATTCAAATGACATCACGGTCACTTCCTCCGAATTCCATTTTAAAAGCCTTTACCAGCACTGTGGAGCTTGATAAATGTATGCACTCGAGAGTTTGTCAATGAGGTTAAGATTCCAGTACTGATTCCAATACCTTGACTCCAGGAAACGGAAGTCCGTTCCTTTTGTGTTTATCGTTATGTACTGCTGCGCTTTCCCACTGAGCGATCGCATTTTTCTCTACTGCAGGCATTCGAAGGTAAAGGGAATCGATCCAATGGTTTGGTGTATACATCGAAGTTTTAGATGTCAATTTAGCGGAATGAGGTGGCATTGCAAACTGACAGAAGACCATTATTGCTGCTTCTTTAACTTCTTCCGCGTACCGACCAATCCGCACTGAATTTCGTTCCTTCACTAAAATCAGTTATTATACCGGTACATGGTGAGACTTGCATTGAAACGTCCAAGTACATAACATGAGCGGAAAACACCTCAGCAAGTGGGATGTTAGTGCATTTAATCCATCATGAGTTATGTTTTTCGCACTCAAAATTTAGTCCACTGATGATTCTAGCTGATATGAACCTCCTTTGAAGATAAAATTTGCAGAACCTGAAACAAGTGAACGATAGATTTCTCCGATTTCTTATGATCCGGTAACAGCGTAGGTATGAGTTTCTTAAACTGACACCAAAAATTGCTTCCACCACAGGCGAAGTCACTGATTTCGGAACAAAACAGTTTATCTGCCAGTAGTTACATTTCTAACTAATTGCAGGACTTGCTCCTTTCTTGTGACATTTTCGAATCATTTTAGCCGTCTTCCGATGCAGAGTACACTGACGTATTTTATAGAACAGTGAGATCTCTTTTTCTGTACTATACATACGAGGTCCCTTGATATGAATTCATCTGAAATCACCGCAGAGATGTGGACTGGTGCTGAGTTGATTTGCTTGGAGGAATACTGAGAGGTTGAATTTAGACGGATTGGTAAACTGAAGTCGCGGCAGACTTCGGGTTTGCGTGATAGTTCTCCTTCCTTTGGCTCAAGTAAGTAGAATTTTTAACCAGTGCCGAAATTGCAACCCGAAAGTTGAAAATACGGAAAGCAGCGTAACCTTGTAATTTCTTTCTATGGTGTATATCATTTCCACAAGGTAGTCTCAGAAGTTTCCCTTGCATTATCCTGACAAAACATTACGAAAAATTACTACTTCCCCGACAACCAAAACAGTGTGCTGTTTCGAAAAGCTGTCACAACTGCGCAAGGTGATTAACTGATCCACGAAACCTGGAACAACTGTGAAATTTTTTCACTTTAATCCTAGTGGAGTGTGTTCTGGGCTGACGCAACATAGTCATCGTTATACCGGTAGTAACCTGACAGGTAACAGCGCCGTGCATCAGTTTATACAGGAATTTCGTGGACTTCTTGAGAGCACACCGACTTAAGTGTGAACGTCCCCTCAGAAATTGTACACCGCAGTTCTTCAAACAATTACCAAGAGAATGCCTGTCAGATTTACTGAATCGAAAGTAACATGGTTAACATACGGTTACTATGCGGATAATTACTGAGCCTGTTACTACATCTCGATGCATTTGGCTGTCAGGTAGACTTCTACATCACTCCCAGGCCATGAACTTGGTCTGTGTCTGTCGTCCTGACTGCCAAATGTACGCGTGGTGTTCAATGTAGACTGTTTATGTGCAGATGTCAGCGTCAGAGTGATGTTACGTACTCAGCAGATCCACCACAACTACTCTTGCTCTAAGGATAGCACTGAAGTGCATATATCCGTGACAGACTGTCATGCGCACAACCAGACTTAGAGACATGCGTATTCAGGACAGTAACGATCATCAGAACAGTGAGTTTTGCACGCCGCTATAAGATCATATGACCCCTCTGCTTTTTTAAACATACTTATATCGTTTTACTCGATGAACATAGATACCTTGCAGTGATCTAGGAGAAAAAAAAGGGACTTTCTTCATATATCATATATCATATCATACCATATCATTCATATATCATATTCACTCTCCGAAATTTTTCTTGGGGTATAAAACTGCATTCATAAAATCCGTGAAAAAGCAATATAGTCCTTAATTTGGTTGTTGATAATCTAATAGATCCTTTGAAAAATATCACCATTCCTTTTTAAAGGGTGTGTTAATTATCTATTGCACTATGTACGTATCGATACTTAGGATGTAACAGCAGTTTCGCACGTCATGGTTGTACGGCAGTGAAGCATCGGTGTTGAACACTGATGTCATGTTGTCAATGATGATGATGATGACCAGATAACATTGCTAACATAATTCAAACCGGCCAATCACATGCCAGTAAAATATGGTAATGAACATGTGACATTAATCAAACATCGTACCACATCCTCCACAGTGACCTCTTTTGAAAACGACGTAGAAATCCTGTTATGAACTTTTATACCCAGAATATAGACAGACGGTCGAATTTCCCGGCTGTTCAACGGTAGTTAATTAACTGAAGTCCGTGTGAAAATTACAACGATACGTGAAAACTGACAATTCCTTACAACAATCTACATTTGTCTGCACGCGAACGAAAGTCTGCAAGTCTTGTTGCTGCATTATGAACTCTAGTTGGTTTTCTCTCTCCCTGTAGCCATATAGATCCCAGACTATGTGAAACACCCAGACACAACAGTCCGTGACCATGGGCCGGTCACGTTTCGTGCAGACCATTCAGTCTCCTTTACCGAACTAGAGCTACGAAGGATCATCACTCACTGGGTTTATTGATGGAGCTTCCTCACTTTTTGCATCGAAAGTTGGGATGTTGTCTTTCTCCTACCGCACGTCGTTAACAAATCCATCGGGAACTCGAACCTAGAGAACCCATGTGCAGCCAAGAGTCCGCAAAACAGGCATACTGTGAATAGTGACACCGTGGTTTCTGTGCATCAAAACTCGCGATTAAATGACTCCATAACCGCTGTCTTGGGAAGGCATCTATACATGTTACCTCACTCAACCAGATTACCCTGAATTCTGTATATCCTCATCGTGTACTTGAGTAGACCGATTGTGTCATTCGCCATTAATACTGTCACCACCGAATACGCGTACACGCAACTTAATGTACAAATCGGGATAAGCCCATAGAAATGGCCCAGTGTTTACAGATATTATCTGTAAACTGAACGAGCTGGAGACAAGCTTATGTTCATATTTGTCATGTATCATTTTATTCTAAAAATGTTGATAGTTCTTCTGACAACTCCATGAAAGTACGATGGAAACGTCAAACTTTTATCCCACACATGGAGATTAGAAGCTTCCAAGCAAGGGCATTGGACACAAACGGTCGTCGCTCAGGTACAAAACTTCAATTCAAGAAACACCTATGCATAACAAAATATCGTCCAGAAAGGAGTGTTTCCTGGCGAGAGGTGGACTAATTGCAACCATACAGCGTCTTCGCAGGAGGATGAGATTTTCGAAGTACCCAGGATGTGGGCCCGATGTTTGCTGCGAGTGCACACGGCATAGTTCGGTACGATCCCATTCAAGGACTCCGAAGCTCAAAAAGTCCAACTTTATGTCAACACAGCCCACTTATGAGCACTAATCCGGTAACACTATACACGCTGTATAACCACAATCACTGGCACCTATTACTGACATTCTTCGATAGGACAGAGCCGTTGGGTTTCACGTATAGACCCAACAGATTATGGGGTGCGAGAAGGAAAAACACCTATAGCAATAGACTCATGGGTGCACCACGTTATCATCAATTTCAGTTGCAGTAACTATAACTTGTTTCCAGAATAAAATCGCGTTGAGATTTGGCTCTACGGACCACACGTGCGGCCCTCTGAATGACTACAAGCCATAAGACGTATCTAAAAGTCGTAGACCAATGAAATCCCTCCGCTACGCCCACCCAAACCAAAAACGCATTGAAAGCTGTCATCGATCGGTCAAACAGCGCAAGTCATAATTTACGTACGACTGCCCATGTCACGTGCAACTGAAGTCGTCCACCGGCACTGAATCGATAAAACTACCTATGTGAACGCTACATGGGCCTAGTTTTCAGAAACCCAGTGCAATCATTTAATAAAGGGAGATAAGCTACATGAAGTTGTAAATGCAAACTCTGCTGAACTATGAACCAGTCTTCTAGCATTTCAGAAACCAGTGGTATATCTTATAAGATCACTGTTAAACCTATAAGGAAATAGATGCGATTGGCAGGTGGCCTAACCAGATGTGACAATGGAGATTGGACGAATAACCCAAAAAACAAGGACGTAAGAATCAAAGATGTCAGAGCCAGGCCGAGACCTTAAGTAAGAAAGTGCACTAGTGGCCGAAGACAAACAGAATGCTGCATGCGAATGCAGGACGCTGAAACGTGACGCTAGAATACCACGTAATCGAGTGAATATATAAATTCCCGGTACAGCTAGGTTAGACAAGACCTACGGGCGCCAACCAACAAACTCTAGGGTTAACAAGTCAATGTCGTTGGTATGTGGCCATTACACAGAGGATACCAGAGTGCGACACCACATTCTTTGTGCTCAAGGATGAATGTATGCCAGCAGAGATGAGATACACAGACAAGCAAATGTCACTTGGGTGCTACAAAACAGGTGAGAGCTTGAGGAAGTTCTCGATTCGAATCCCGGTAGCCGCGAAGCAGGCTTCACTGAGAATGGTCTCCAGACAGCTCGTAAGATTCCAGTTCATTACCTTATCTGGACGAGTATATCACCGTTGGAACGAAAAATGAATGAGATTACATTTTACAGATGCCGAAACTGCGAAGCAGGTAGTGTCTTCTTTCTCTTCGGGGGAGATACCTATCAGGCTGCCCGGCAACCAAGAGCCTGACATTCCTGAAAAGACCGCCGAAGTACACTTCTTTTCGACTGAAGTATACTCGTTGACAATCTTCCACCCGATAGGCTAAGCGTAATCCCTGAATTTCCGTTTTTTTTTAATCTTCTTACTTGAACCTCTTATAAAAAGAGATTTATGTTCCGAAAAATCGNCCAAGAGCCTGACATTCCTGAAAAGACCGCCGAAGTACACTTCTTTTCGACTGAAGTATACTCGTTGACAATCTTCCACCCGATAGGCTAAGCGTAATCCCTGAATTTCCGTTTTTTTTTAATCTTCTTACTTGATACCTCTTATAAAAGAGATTTATGTTCCGAAAAATCGATGGATTCATTCGAGTCACATTAACATCATCTCAGTTGGTAGATGAACCTCGACTCCACAAGGTTCTTGCCTTACAAGTATCAGTGAAGTTATAGTTCATTGTCATCCGTATTGAGATGTATCAGTCACACCTCTGAAATTCTATGAAATGTTGACCTGGTGCGCCATAGCTATACTGTGGTGTCGAAAAGTCATGAAACCCGTAACAATCTAATCGAACCGTTAACTCGTGGTACATGTACGGTTCATAGCAGGCAGGCAACCCGAAAGAAACGCAATTGATGACTTACAACAAAATTTCCCAGGTGTGGATAAAGCCAATTGAAAATTCAGGGTTGGAAACATGACCCTTATTGTCTTCAGTTCATAAACTAGCTCCCGAATTACCTTGGTTTAATTGAAGGTAGTGGATATGTATAAACTGCATTCACATCTCGGTCGATTAAGCAGCTTCTTCTCTTGGTGTAACCCCATGGCTAGTCCACACCAAAGTTACGCGCCTGGATTTAAATTCCGGAAATGATGTTCGATGCCAGCTTTTCGCACGCTATGCTGGACGTGCCGACATTATCGTCTTGGTTTGTGCTGCCTGGGAGGCACTACATCGGCATACACCTTTGGCAGCAACGTAAGGGTGGTACCCGGAACCTTTAGTTCAGAAATATATCCAGGGGAGGGGGGCCCGATGCGCATGGTATACATGATTAACGAAGCTCTGAACCTCATACCCTGATGGACTGAATTCAGCAATCAAAACGCTCTCGGTTGAATATCCATTAGTGGACATGACATCAAACCCCGAAGGTTGCCGAACTATCCTTAGACGCCAGAGGCTACAAAAGGTTCAGAGTTGTTGCAAAAATGGATTTAATTAACTTTTGTAGCCACAGAGTCTGGGGAAACACATATCAAGTAATTAACCTACTACTCGTGTACACCAACAGTTTAATAGACGTTCACGCAGAAAACAGCTGCAAGTTCCCAAAAGACCGACTGTAAGCGGTTACGAACCTCCTGCAGACACGCAAAATCCATACCAAAATAAGTTGAGAACAAAACTTGGGGTGCTGCCGTCTTCCCAGCTCTCGATTATAGTCGTCACCAACATCAGCTGCTGCGAACTGGGTACAAGTACAATAAATCATCAAAGGATGATGTGCAAAACGGGAATGGGTAGTTACGCATCTGAGGCACTGGTCTTTACTATTAAGCAGCGAATACAGCAGTGATGGGTGCCTGTCATTGGTGTGGCGGCCGAGGAAAAAAAGGTTTTAATGCGACGAATTGGATGAATGTGTATCAACGGACATAAACAGGTTAGTCCCCAGCATCAGATACAACATAGATCCATTCCGCACCGGCATCTTCGTCAGGGGAGATAGCGAGTACAGACGCAGGTAGGTTTTCTGGTTATGGTACGCGCAATTCACTACAATGTTACTATCTGACCTTCTCTATACTGTTTCCATCCTGCAGGTAGTTGTGAGAAAAATGTCTGTGGACGATGTTAATTCTCTGGTATGCGAATCATGTGTCTAAGCAAGTAAAACCTAGAGAGATTACCGTTTACTACATGGAAAACCACTCAGGGTTCTTACCAGATCCAAACAATGCTCTGAACAGTAGCCAAGCACTGGAGGTGTTCACGTCTTCAAGACTGATACCCACAATTAATTAGTTGACAATTTTGTTTACTCAATCCGTAATTATGAGGTTAACTTTTGATCGGCGAAGTTAGGGGAAAGGGAAAAGAGAACATGCCTGGAACCACTGGACATGGTTGTGAGAGCTAGTCCTAGGCCTTCACATGTGAATCAGATTAAGAAATTTACGAAGAACACCTAAAATCGACAGGTGTCCCAATGATAAGCGGAGTCGGAAACAAACTCCGGGTGAAAAAGATGACCATTTTAGGATGCTGGAAGCGGTGTCACTGTTCTAGAATCTGTTGGAGAGGAAGGTTACGATCTACGCTCAATTTGTCAGGGCTAAGTCCAGCGTGACTTGTGAAAAATGTCTTCTGTGAGTGCTAAGATCGGATAGTACCTTGGAAGCTAGTCGCCAACGAAAATTGGGGCGGATCGTACCCATGAGCCTTGGGGGAGCTGGAAAGACTGGAACACGAACCACGTCTGGTAGCAGTTATCATGCCTCATGGACCCTGTGTTAACCAAGGATTCAGATACCTGAATATAGTATTATCTCGCATTAAGGTAGAGTGTGTGAATACTAGTCAGCCGTTGACATTTTACCGATAATCCACCAGATAGAGAACTCTCAAATTTTTTACCGATATCTAGGGTACCGATAGATAAGGAGAAACTGACTTCATTCGACGAGTAAAGTTATCAGAATACCGAATATTGCGTTCGTGTTGCATGTTAACAAAAATAGCTTACATAAGGAGCTTGTTGGTCTAGGAACAAGGGAGGGGGTGACAAGAAGAGAAGTGTCGGACAATAGTACAAGAAACAAGGATTCAGAAAGAGACGAAGGCCTGAACACTTTTAGAAACCAGTGAAAGACAACTCCACGATAGAGGGATGAGAGTAAGGGTTGGCTATGGGTAACAATACCTAAGCAGCTGTGGAGCGCATGTTCCCAGGAATGAAGACAGGACGTCACGGCCGTCAATAAACCGTAGGAAGACGACGGACAGCCGGAGGTGTAGAACACGTGCCATGTAGCAAAACGTCTTGAGGGATGGGTAAGGTTCATATTTTATACATGCTTAAAGATGAATGGGTCAAAAACAGAGGTTGGTAGGGTGACGAAATCAAGAATCAAATGTTTTCCAGGATTGTGGTTGTTCACGTATGCAGTGTACCAAACCAAGCAGGAGCAGATACAAGGATATGTTATTAGAAGCAGTCGTTGGATATTAACCTGTCGCCTTGACATCATTTCCTGAGTGATTCTGGTTACTTTGAGCAGATGCGGGAATAGATCCACCGTGTTCCAAAACAATTGATTCTAGAGACAAGGAAACCATGGGCATCTGAGAAAATGGAAACTTACTGAAATATGGATGTTCCATCGCTTCACGTGCTGTCAACCTCTCCTGATGGTCATATCGCAGGAGTTTGTCCAACAAATCCAAGGCTTCAGGACAGACCAAGTGCTGATTTTCCGGATGCACAAAGCGGTCCCAGCGTTTTCGCGGGTGGCGGTCTATCAGCTCACTAAAACGCGCGTCCAACTTTATGTCATATTTGTTCAAATACTGGAACAGCTCGTCTGTGCCAAGCACTCTAGTAATACGCACGAGTTGATTGTAGTTATCGTGACCGTGGAAAAACGGCTCTCGTCTTAGAATCATGCTAGCAAATACGCATCCTACAGACCATAGGTCTAGGGAATAATCGTACATCTAATGAAGAGAGCTCGACGTTAGAAAATAAAGTAATATGGTTACTTACCTGATAGTCCACCAACAATTCAGGCCCTTTATAATGTCGTGAGGCCACTCGGACATTGTATTCTTGTCCTGGGTGATAGAATTCCGCGAGACCCCAATCGATTAGACGGAGCTGTCTTTCGGTGTGATTGATCAGAATGTTGTGAGGCTTGACATCACGGTGCATAATTCCCATGCTATGACATACATCAAGTGCACGTAATAGCTCAAACAGATAGTAGCGGATATCATGATCACTCAGAGTCTGATACAGTTCTTTGAAGTCTGTGTTATCCACATGTTCAAAAATGAGTGCAGGAGTTCGACTCTATACAGCCGTGTGATGGATAAATTGGTGACTTACTTTAACATCGCGGACAACTGCCTCCAGAATGATTATATTAGTCAACCCACGTAGGTTTTCCAATATTTTAATTTCGCGAGCGATTTTAGCCTTCTTAACCGGCTATCAAACTAAACTGGATGACGAAGTATGGCATAGCTCACTTTCAAGGCCTTGATCACACACTTCTCGTTGGTAGTTACATTGATTCCCTCGAAAACCTCACTGTATTTACCCCGGCCCAACTTTTTTACAATCTGATAATCCTCTTGATCACTTCAGGAAGACGAAGATTAGGATGTACGCAGGCGATTACAACCTACCCCCATCGAATCTGGTGAGCCTCGTAGTCCCAATATTCCCGAGGTCGATTGGCCGTAACATCGGCATAGACCCGGGCTTTACTAGCCACAGGCATTGCTGAAAAATAATAAGGAATGATGCATCATCATAATCGACAGCATGACATCAGTGTTCAACACCGATGCTTCACTGCCGCACAACCATGGTTTATTTAGAAGCCATATTGTGAAAAAAAGAACGAAGGTGGAGAGGGAATGGGATTAGTGCTGGCTTACTACAATCACTCCGATGTGCCTACACCTCTGAACACTCATTCAAGCAATCTGGATAGAAACTGACAACAAGATCATCACTGAAATCGGTTGGAAGCCATAGCTTACACCGTCTCCAACCAGGTGTAGTGAGGATCACGCGGTCCCCATCCTGGAGGGCGAGTAGCACCGACAGCACCCAAAGGCTTCGTGGTTTCTTTCATACCCCTCTATCAGGTCAAGGGTTGGCCACCTCTCTGTTTACGCCACTCTGAGTTAGGGATGGAAAACAGCACTCTTGGGGAAATGATGGTTCGGCATAGGCAACACATGTCCCAACCAACGCAGCTTCTGGTGCTGGACACACTTCAGCGGAAGTACCCGTTGGACAACCAAAAACCCGCTTTCTAACTGCCTCGTTACGGATACGCTGAGACCAACCCACACTAGCTATGGTTCTGAGAAAACGATTGTCAAACACCTAAAGAAATCTCAGTTCCGCTGCTCGAACAGGTCAAGTCTCGCAGTCACACAACAAAACAACCCACATTGTAGCTTGATGCACATGTTCCTTCCGATTCAGGGATAAACCGCTCTGACACCATAGGTCTCAAATTTGCAAAATCCCCAACCAAGCCTTACAGACTTCATCTGTCACACTACAGTTGGAACGAATACAACTCCCAAGATATGTAAAACGCTCCACAACTTTACTTCCCCCATAGGTCTCAAATTTGCAAAATCGCGACCCAAGCCTTACAGACTTCATCTGTCACACTACAGTTGGAACGAATACAACTCCCAAGATATGTAAAACGCTCCACAACTTCGATTACTTCCCCCTGGACTGTAAGGGAATGCATGTCCACGAGCATGTTGCTCGTGTCCCGCTTGCTGCTCTTGAGCCAGTGTCTCACGAGCCACCGTAAGGCGACGAAGCACAAGTGACGCCAACATTCTCGTTACGACCGAGGTCAAGCTGATCCCCCTGTGATACCACGCTCGCTACGCACCCCTTTTGTGAAAATGGGCACTACCACCGACTCTCGCCAGTTGTCTTGGACAGACTCCTTTTCCCAAATGCAAGCAAACATATCAGACAAGCGCTGACTGAGGACTTCAGTCCCATCTTTGAATAATGCGAGTGGAAGGTCATCCGGACCACAGGCTCGGTAGCGCTTAAGAGAACATATGCAGTCATAAAACTCTGAGGCTGTAGGCGGTTCCACCTGTGGGTTCCAGATTGGTGCCAGCTGGTGGCCATGACAACTGTTGTTCGAAGTATTCGACCCAACGGGTGAGGTATTCTTGTTTATCCGAGATGGTCACTCCCTTCCTGTTCTTGATGGTTTCACTCACAGATCATTTCGGAGCCCCTTCGCGCGGATCAGCTGAAATAATCTTCGAGCACTGCTGGCGTTCTGTGCCTCTTCCATTTCCTTGGCTTTGTGTCCACCACACTTCACGATCGGCTTGCATGCTCTCCTTCATATGACGTCTGATAATTCGTCGCATCACGTTGTGTTCCGGGCCGGCTGGGTTCGAGATTTAAGCAATGCGACTGTTAGGTCTGATATCCCCAACCTAAAGCTGCCACCTTGACGAAGTGGTCGGGCTTGAATGCTGCAATTATCCGGCGGGCTACACTGGCTGGGAATTCGTTCCACAAGGTGCAACCATGCCAGGAAGGCCAAAGGGGAGCAGCCAGACCAAGAGGAGCGAGACTCCGCACTACGAGTAATCGTGGTACGGGGCGGTCTGGGGGTAAAGTCGCACTGTCCTCTGCGACAGGAGTGTGAAGGCAGTAAGGTGTTTCCCCCAGGTGACCAGGATGTCCATATTTATGGAAGCAGCGATGC